CTGTACAGCTGCAGTATTGATATATATATAAAAAATTTGACAGCCTATAAGAATCTACAAATCGATTTTAGTAAAATAATTTGTTTGTTTCTGAATATAATATAAGTTTAATTATTCACTAATGTATGATGTTTGGTAAACATAGACATTAATGATCATACATCTTCACTTCCTTTTGTCAGTTAAAAAATGCATTCTGAGTTCAGATCCACTGGGAAGTCTTTTCCAGGACAAGGAAGCCCATTATTTTCACGCTAACTATATCACTCCTTCCTTATTGTTCTGGTTTAAATGGAAGCGTCCGTTAATGTAAACAAATACCAAATGGGTGTTGTTAGAACCCTTTTTAATGCATTCTCATGATATTGCATAGTTGACAGAGACTGTACACCATCTCAGTGATGCCAACATAATGCAGTATCTCAAGAAAAAACCTATTCCGGTAAACTTGTTCACTTCAGTTCTATTGGGACATTCTATTATTTAAAAAAGCACAAGGAAGATGAGTATAGATATGAGCAGTCCTGTCGTATTACACTGAGCAACATACAGTCAAACAAAAGTCTCAAAGTAGACCAGGGATTTCCTCCTAATTTAGTCAAAGCTATCACAAAATGGGAAAATATGAATAAAATAGAAAGCATTGCAGCTTGAAGCTCACTGAGTCAAATCGATCATGCATGACAGTCCCCTTCGTTCAAGTGACAACTCTCTGATCAGTTGTGCTCAGGACATGATACACCTTTATGGCTTTATAACATGCAGGTTGCCAGAGTAACAAAGGCCACTTGATCCTTAAATCTTTGTTAGAAAGCTGCTCCTTTGGCCTCCTTGCTTACTGGGGCCAATACTAATTTAGAAACCTACAACTTTCCTGCTAAGATGAGTGCTAAAGTTATTTTGAAGAGTTACTTTTCATAGCAGTGTTACAGTGGTCTATCTAATGCCTGATGTAAATGGCTACAAAAGAACAGTTTGTGGACTTTGAACCTTTTGAGCGACACATATAATGTTATTTTAACAGTATAATTGAGACAATTAAATAGCAAGTCTCAAATCATTGCAGATTCTCAACTACTTGGACATTGATACTAGCATATTTGAAAAGTAATATTATTATGGATGAAAATGTAAAAAAAATAAAAAGTTACCCCCACCCCCACCTATGCTGAATTTAATTACCCCGAAACGAACAGAGCCATACATATCTCTGTTGACTATAATTGTATTAAAACTTCCTTGAAGTTTTAAGATTTGAGAAAATGATTAAAATTAAAAATAATATCAACATTTAACAGCACATAAAATGGGCCACAGTGTATAATAATATGAAATGATAATAATCTAAATGTTTCATAAACACTTTTAAAATCAAACAATAATAATGGCCGTGGTGTATAAAGGTAAGGTAATACAATAGCTTGTGTATTCCTACTAAGATTAAAAAACTCCATATTTTCTACCATTTAAGTTGATAGATGGGAAGGGAAAAAGAAGCATTTTCTATTTTAATATTTTTAAATGTAATTTATTTCTGGTTATGCAAAGCTGAATTTTCAGCATCATTACTCCAGACTTCAGTGTTACATGACCCTTCAGAAATCATTCTATTATGCAGATTTGCTGCATTATCATCAATGTTGAAAACAGTTGTGCTGCTTAATAACTATTTTGGGATTCTTTGATAAATAGAAAGTTTAAAAGAACAACATTTGAAATAGAATATAATTTTTTGTAACACTTTTGATAATTTAATGCATCCTTGCGGAGTAAAAGTTATAATTTCCTCAAAAACCTTTTTGCTAAAAAGCAAATACTAACCCCAAGAGATCCAAAATTAACCGGATTTGTCCTTCATTCACATTCAAGGGCAAGTTGCTATGTGGGAATGGTTGTGAGCCTCAATGAACTTCATAGACAGGCCTTGAAACCAAGTTGTACAGGGCTGGGTAGAGAGCTATAAAAAACCTCAAACACAGAGTCCACGCTCCACCCTGATGCAGACATTACCTCATGATGGTGCAAGTGATGAGATACCAAGGGGAAAAAACAATACTTTTAGCATTCACTGGTCAATTTTAGAAAGGATTGCCTCTTTGTAATTACTTTAAGTAATTAGAGTAAGCTAATTGCTCTGATTGTCACCCATGGAGGCATGTACCTTGATTTATGGTCACCATGATGACAGAGCAAGACTCAAGATTAGATTCAAATGCACTCCTACTTTTGCATTAGTGCTTCAGAACCTTAAGTCCACTTACTTAAGCCCTTCAGCTCAAAAAGATATGGTATGTTTACCAAACAAGATACTGAAGGGGTGGATCTCTTACAGTACCATATATAAAAATATCTTGTAACATCACACACTAGAAATAAATACATGTATCCGAACACACTGATCTCAGCATTTTTATTGTTTTTCCTAATCAATAATAAAGTCAAAATGAAAGAAAACATAAAAAATTGACATGCAAAAAAAAAAAAAAAAAGTAGTGTTATTAACTATGTAAACAAAATAAATACTTTCAGGAATATACAGCAAGAAGCCAAAAAAGAAAAAGAACCTTATGGTGGCAACCACTGACAGATTGATGGCTGGCATTATTCAAGCCACACAGGATATCATTCAAGGCTTAACAGTGTCTGCGGGGGCTTTACACATTGAACCAGAAATTATATTTCAGCTGTGCTTCACATCAAATCATAAAACAAATTACAGGACAAAACTGCAGGGCACAGGATGACTTTAAAACAAAAATAAATGCAAAGTGAATTGACAGCCTGTGCATCTGAATAAAATTAGATTTCAATTCATAGCATCTTTGGATCTCCTTGACCTTAGTTATTGAAACAATACTAAAGTGACCAACTTCAAGAACCTTTCAGAAGTTCAGAAAATTGTCTCTGAAAAGGAAAGAAAACAGGAAATCCTACAATAAAAAAAAGTTTAATGGCAAAGGGACTACTTGAGGCGTTTTTAACGGTAGCCACATCAGTCATGCTACATACAGTCACTCTTTGATATCCCTGCTTCTGTGACCAGTGATATGAGGTATAAAAACATCAGCTGTGATGATTTCATTTTAGTCATCACTCTTTATTAATGTGATTATTACTACTACCATTATTGTGAACAGAGTACCCCAACCTTCCTAAATGAGTCCCAGTGGTCAGTTTGTGTTCCCTAAGGGCCGTCCGCCTGTCAAACAATCTTGCATGTGGTTCTGTCCTTTTGGGGATCGGTAGGTAAAACACATGAAAGGAGGAACAACATTAGATGACAGTAATTCAAGGACAGTGTAACAGCAGCCAACAGTGCTGATGGAAGACAGTTATTGATCGTTAAAAAAAAAAATACAATAATACTTGTACAGTACAAAATCAAACATATAAAAATGTAGTTCAAGGTAATATTTTGCCCTGCATGCATACTGCAATAAGTTTTCTGAATTCCTTTTGGACTGTTCAGTCAGTATATTTAGGACCAATACTATATAAATTACTAAGAGCGGGACTTTTTACAAGTCGCCTCTGGTGAAAGGCTTGGTACAACAGGGGCCATTTTAACACAAAGCACATTTTCCCAACCCAATACTTTTGAAATAAAACAACAAGGAGAAGAAAAATCCCCCTCTATAACCTGCCCTACATCCATGAGAAGCTGGGAATAAAATATAAAAAAAGACACCCTACGCTCCCACCCCAAGAAAAGCCCACCCTTCATTTCAGCAAACACGTCCCATTGAAACAAAAGTTTTCCATAAGAAAGACCTCATCGTTGGTCTTGTCAACATAATCTACGCTTCCTAAAATGAATCCCGCCCCTTTTCTGTCCACTGCCCCCTTTTAAAAACAGCATGTCAGTTACACAGTTCACATTCTGTGTGATCAGCCTGGGTAGTTTCATTCACCATGTAAAATAAACAGGATCAAAAAAGTGCTAAATGGGATTCTTTCTGACGAAGAAGGGAAAGGAGGAGTGGACGGAGGGAGAAAGGGATGAGCAAGCCAGATAGGTGCAGAAGAATCCCATGATCTGGCCTGTGCCAAGAGGCACTTACACGCTCGCATGCAGCGCCCTCTAGTGTATAGCCCTTGGCTTCGCAATCCAAGGGAAAAAAAGAAGGACAGGGCTAAGGGGGGTTATGTGCTGTCAGTCACAGGCCTCCCTTCACAAACTCAATCCCTCTTTATCTCCCTCCAAGTCACCTGCCAGTCTCAAGAAAGAGTATATGTTATTTTACATACAGATATTCTTATAAATATATATTCATATATATATATATGGCCCTTACTGAAAGAGAATGTGAGCATTTCACATTGACATAAAAGTACCATAATCTCTATACAGCTAAGTGGAAAGTGGTGTCAGTGTAATTTAACAGGCAGCGCTTTAGTCTTCTACTTGTTGCACTTATTCAGAAGAACAAAAAAAAATGTCTCCTGAAAAAGCTCTTTGTATTTGCAAAACGTCTGCCTCTTGGATGAATGCTTGCTACCCTTCTGGATTTGCCGTCCACACGTTTTCCTGAGTAATACTTGAATCATTGTAACAGACGATTTCAGTTCTAGGCAACTCCCTGCCATTGCTTTTTCATAGTTATTTTTACACGCTTGTGAAGTCAATTGCTAAAATGTACTTGAATGACTTTTGGAAAAAAGTAAGCAGAACTAATTTCGCTTGCGTTTTCGTCTATTGATCAACAGAGCAGAACTAAAAATCTACGCAGCATTTCCTAAGGAAATTGAAAAAAAGAAAAAAGATGGGAAATGCATTGCAGGCCAAAGTAGGGTGAAATTTCATATGAACATAATGGCAGTGAGTAAAAACATTACTTAAAAACATGACAATTTCATTGAAGTAGGAGAACTAAATAACAATAACAATAATAATAACAATATTAATAATAACAATAATAATAACAATAACAACAATAAAGACAGCATGACAAAATAAAAATAGGGAACCTCCATCTCAGCATCTAGGCACAGGAGCCCATTCACCTGTAGCTTTGGCTTGTTGGGGTTTTGGAGCCACTGCTGACTGGGTTGCTGGCATCAGCCAAGAGACTGCTATACCCTGAGAATTCGGAGACTGATGTCTGTAAGCGGTGAGTCACCTCTCCCCCCGAGTCACTGCTGAAGGCCAGGGACACTCTGCCCCCTTTAAACTGCGCCCCGAAAGCCTGGGCAAAGTTCTCGATCTGATAAGGAGCCTTGGCTGGGTCCAGCGTGGCCAGGTCCTGGGACGCAGCCAGGGAGAATCCTCCAGTGGTGGCTGCGGCTCCGTTTTTCGGCCCTTGCAGTTCCTTCCGACCGCCCAGGTCGGGAGGCTGAGGTGTGATCTGGTAGGCGTTGGTGTTGGGAGTGTGTGGAGGTGGCGGAGGGGAGGTGTGCTGCTTGTCCAGCTGTTCAGTGAGCTCCTGGGAAGGTGTGAGCTGCTGCGTGTGTACAGACGGCTCCAGGCCGCTCAAGTGGAAGCCCGTTGGAGGCGACGAGCCCTCGAGGAGACCAAAGTGGGACTTTGGCACAGACACCATGTGATACTTCTGAATAAAACGCATGTTGCACTGGTCACAGCTGAATGGCTTCTCTCCTGGAAACCAGACATCCATGAAAGGAAAGATAAGTTGTGGACCAAACTAATTTGGTTTGCAAATTTTATAATAAAAACAGAAGTGGCTTGTGAAGCATGATCGACATCTTGCTAACAAATAAGCCAGATATGAGGAAATGAAAGCTAAAGTTGGTGTGAACTTGAGGAACATACCACTGTGGATCTTCTCGTGTCTCTGTAGGAGGTATTTCTGAATGAAGCTCATGTTACACTGAGTGCAGCGGAAAGGCCTCTCACCTGTAAAGGACATGGAGTGTCAAGCATTGACGTGTTTATAGTGACTACAGAGGCAGCAAAATATCATGATGGTTTTTAATGGCCACCCCTAAGTATGAGTAAAATAACTGTCTCAATTACAACTTAATCTAAAGTTTAAAGTAGCAATCCTATTTGGCTGCTGTTAAAGTAATGACTTGGAGTAAACTTTTTGACTCCAAGGGCCTTGGTTTGTTCAAAATACTTTTTTGTTCAAATATATATACCGGTATATAATATAAATCATATATAAATGTAAATACACACACACACACAACAGTCCTTTCTGGTCCTCGAATCTGATTGGCTGATAAGAGTGCGATATTACAGTGATAACAGAGCTCCTCCAACCGTTTCACCATTTGTGTCAGTCTGCTTTCAGTCCGCTTGCCGTTTTTCTCACAGCGAGTGTCATGGCAGATGCCCAGATCTACCACAATTTAAAAATAATACTGTTTTTGTGTCACGGAATGTAGTTTTGTTAGGCATATATATATAGCGCTTTCGCAAACCTATTTTCATGATAAATCATTTTAAATCTTTAAAAAATGATTCAAACAGTTTATCCAAGTAAGCAACGTTTTCTTTGTGTAATACAAAAATAGTTTTGCACTTTTGTGAACTTGACAAACCAGCTATTTCAGAATGCAAGTACCCATAATCTCTACTTAATACTGGCTGTTAATCCTTGGAACAAATTGTTTGCGATGACACCGTGTGCACAGGCCAATCTCTAACATATGCACGCTCTTTTGTGTAAGTGTAAACGCATGCTGACCTGTGTGTATAAGCACATGTCTGCGTAAATGATAGGAGCTCCGGAACGCTGCATTGCAGTGCTCACAGATGTGTGGTTTGGAGTTTGGAGACAAGCTCCCTCCATCTGGATCCAGCATCATTGACTGCAGAGAAAACAATTTTCAGCATTAGACAACACTAATATTATTTTATGAAGGGAAATCTTCTCCTTTTTAAATTTTAACAATAAGCATAGCAGTGAATAATAAATAAGTTTTATGTTAATGAAGTGTTTGTTTGCACCTTCGACTCTCCTCGTTTCCTCCGTGTCTTGCCCTCCTGTCCCTCGCCATTTGACCTTCGACCTTTCCTCCCTGAGGAATCCTTTACCAGCCGTCCTGACAGCTGGAAGGATAACAAAGACAGAATGGGATTCGGAGCAGACTAAATAAAAGACCACAAAATCCCATTCATTCACACAACATTTGTGAAGCAAAAATCGTTTTTTTTATTTTGTATGCATGGCATATTGAGACTCAAGTTGTGTGAATGAGAGACACTCTGTGCCTTGGATTTTTGGGGGGATTTTTTTGGGGGGAAACAAACCCAGATACAGAAATCAGACAAAACTCTATAATATGCACATACTAGATGAGAAACTAGTTTGAATATTAAAAGTATTGGCTAATGTGTATGTGACAGAAGGCAGGGTGGAAAATCTATGAGCCTCTATATCTATCCCTGGAGAATCAATGACGCTTTCCCTTTTTCGCGTCCATCTATGGAAAAACACCATGCTGATTATTGACCAGCTGCACATCTGAATATTGTCTCACATTTGGGCAGTATAAAACAACAGATCGGCGAGAAACACACACACAAAACCTATGTTGAATGGAGATTAAAATATGAATTGTCCATGTGACACTCATTGTCCTTCTGAAGGCTATGGCATATTTGACAAAAGAGAAAAATAGAGCGAGAAAGATATGAAATTTTAAATTGCACCCATGGCTAGCCAAAACAAATTTTACTCTTTGCTCTAGTCTGATGTCTTTAAAATGACCTCTCCTTTAACAGAAAAAAGCATGAGGAAGAGCAACTGGGATAGATTAAATCCAACCAACCAGAAAACAAAAGACAGAACAAAGACATCTTGCGTGTTACTTCTTGGCGTGCTGCTAGAAATAATCACGAATTAGCATGAGTCATCATTTTATTAATGTAATCACAGCTGCCTTTGGCTACTGCACAAAGACAGAGCCAGATGCAGTGTCTCAATGCTTCAGCCTGATTTCCTTTCAGTCGTCGGTGCGGATGAGATGATCAATAAACCCTTATAATGATTAAATGGGTTCACTGCCCTTATAACCTCGGAAAGGACTTAATTATCACAGTATGAGAAGCAGAGGTGCTGTTTTGCATTTCCGCACACACAACTGCATGAGTCCTGTTGCATTTGACCTAGTCAAACCCCTCAATCATGCACAGAAATGGGATGGCATCACTGACAGGAAGGACAATTAATTTCTGTCCTACAGTAATATTGTGGAATCTGCTTTCAGCTCGGCTTGGGATAGAGACTTCCACGGACCTTAAACACAAACCTGGCTTAATTTATGAATCTAGGGAATTTGGAAATTTAGATATCAAAAGAAAAAATAGCAAAAAAAAACAAACAAAAAAACACCTATGCCCCCTAAAATTCAACAACCATTAGATTACTGATGCGGCACACCCACTACTAACACCATAAATCTTGAATCAATGAATGAATAAATAAATAAATAAATATATTTTTATAGGACTCTTGCTCAGGGTTGACGCTGAAGGCCATTAGCTATATTATCTCTTAAATTCATAACTTGTGCTGTTATTGACTAGGGAAAACACTATGATGCCTTATTAAATAACTGAGACTATATTATAATCTCTGAAACTTTCTTTTATCACTTTCTTTAGTTTAGCACTAAAAGCTATGCAAGTGGAATAAAAAAAAAAAAGACAAACTATAAACAGCACTGTTTATTTAAAAAAAATTATATTCCACTAAAACTCAAAAATGTTTTCCTTGTGAGACATCTTTTCCTTTAATAGAATAACTACATTTCTAAAAAATAAGGTTCCAAAAGGCAATGCCATTGAAAAACCATAGAACCTTTTAGTGAACAGTTCTTCAAAGAACCATTCCTTTCCTTAGTGTGAAGAAAACTTTATAATCTAAAAGAACATTTTTCTATGGATATTCACAGGTTCCATTGATATTAAGGAACCTTTAACTTTCAGAGTGTAGTGATATTGAAAGTAGGGAAGTTCAGTAAAATATGGAATCTAGGAAATCACACAATGAGGGTGCATTACCTTTTAATAACAGCACAAGTAATAAAAGCATTCCTTGGTGTAATTACCAACCATCCTGTCCAAATATATTTTTACAGACAGACATGGGCACACTTACGTTTCCCAGACTGAGGTCGTGCACCACCAGGTTCTGATGGTTGCCCAGCGAGACCTCCAGCAACTCTCCTCCACTTCGTACTCCAGTTCCAGCTCCACCACCCGGGTAGAGAGGCAGCCTGTAATCATGTTCAGAGACCTTCTCCTGTTTAATGCCCATGGCATGAACGTAATCTCCCATGCTTCCCATCATCCCTCCTATGCCACCTCCACCACCCATGCCTCCAGCACTCATCCCTCCTCCTCCACAGTCCGGCGAGTCCCTCTCCTTCTTCAAGATCATCTCGTGGGGCTGCAGGTCAGCCATAACGGTTTGACTGGCCAGCCGGGTGAAGCTAGTAACAGGGGGCAGGTGACTGAACATGAGCATGCCTGGACCAAAGCCTGGCTCCATGCCCCCGTTAGAGCGGAGGAACTCATTGCCAAGTTTGTCCTGGATCAGGCTCATGTTGAAGGGGCAGGGCTCAGAGTGTTATCACACTGACGCTGATGCTGGAACAGGGGCGACGGGGTCTGCTTCAATGCAAGGCCACCTCACTCATCCTAAAGACAAAAAAAGAGACCAAATAATGATTTGACAGTCTTTACATACATGAAGTGCTCACAACTGTGCCTGATTAGCCAAGTAGCAACACAATTATTTTTAATACGTAATATACTTGTAGTAATAAATGTTATTTAAAAATAAATTGTTATTTAAAAAATAATATAATAATATACAATACAGTTCAATACACTCACTAAAGATGCATTTCTTTTAAATATTGTGAAATATTACTACAATTTAAATGAACCGATACTTTAAAATATAAGTTATTCCTAGGATGGCAGTCTTCATATAATCTTTCAGAAATTCTTATATGCTGATTTGGGGTTCAAGAAACATTTCTTCTTATTATCAATGTTGAAAACAGTTGGATGATTAACATTTTTGTGGAAACTTTTTTTTTTTTTTTCAGGGAAAAAAAAAAAAAAAAAGTATGTGAAATAATTTTTTTTTTTAACAATGTAAGCCTGACTTAAATTAAATGCATCCTTTAATGCATAATGAATAAAAGTATTATTATTTTTAAATTATACTTGACCCCAAACAGTATACACACACATATATACATATACATATACATATATATACGCACAAACAAAAACAAAATGTTTATATATAATAACATATATATATATATATATATATATATATGTGTGTGTGTGTGTGTGTATGCCATTCTACTCTAGATATCAGTGTCAGCAATTTAAGAATTTGTAAGAACATTACAAATTCAATCCTGTCATTATTTTCGTATTTACTTATTATTTTAAAGCTACATTGCTAAGCAGCAATAAAATCTTGACAAAACAATAGAAAAGTTATAAAAGCTGAAAATTACGTTTCAAAAGCTGCAAGAGTGTGAATGTGCCATGGACAACCACGTCAGCCATGTTAGTGCTAAGACTCTGACTGCATATTACATCCTTCTGAGTGCTTTTGGAATTTGGAAAGTTTTCATTTCAGGTCTTTGAGGCTCCTCAAAACCAGGTCACTGTGACAAATGTTTGTGTCAAAACTATGAAAACTTCATGATGCTTGCCAAATTCATGGAAGTCGTGAAGCATGTGATGCAAGCAAGTGATGTGCAGATCTTTAAAAACAAACTTAGAAGCAGTAGCCGTATGCTCTTTTGATCCAGCTAATAAGTGCTTAACTGGATTAATCACAGAGGTTTGTGGGTCAGACATAAAAAACATGTCAACCTCTCTTCAGTGTATTGTGCTTGCCATTTCCCCCTTTTAACACACAAATAACAACTTACGGGAAACAATTCACTTATGACTTCTAATGAGAAGTAATGTTAAGTACCCATAAACATTAGGAGTAATTACGGTAAGAGTGACGCAAACAGATCAACATTAGGCATTCACTTTCATTTAATGTGCTGCAGAAATAAATAAAACTTTTTTTTATTTTTTAAATGAGAGTCATTACCTGGCTATAGTTTCATGACATGAAAGCATCTATACAGACTCAATGTAAACATAGATCAAAAGCACACATGCACAAGCCATCTCTAACTCATTTTGCCCAGATTTTTAAGATTGACCATTATGTATGTTTTTGCATTTTGCAGAAGTTAGAATTTTTTGTAAATTAAATTTAAAAAGCAGCAATTATATAAGATTATTAATAGCTTATTTCTATTTTCAAGGTGGAAAAAAACTATTTACACACGCACAGACTTTAAGATATCATATGCAAAACAAACCACCTGGTGTTTGCTCACACGCTCTATTTTTGAATGTTAAGGATTAAGAGCATGTTATAAATATAAACACAGATGCTGTGCCCTGTGAACCCGTCTAGCATTAGGTATATTAGTGGATTGTGGCCTGTAGAACTTTCCTCTAAAACGTTTAAGTCCAGTGCAACGTGTGTGTTTGTGTGCGTGTGAGAGAGAGACATTTGTTATTAGGCCTACATCAATCAGTTGTGGTGGTGGTTATTTTATATGCAAGTATCATCATCTTTGAGGTCTGAAGACTGGACATCCTGCTCTGACTAATTATGGTTTTCTACAATTGACAAACAAATTTACAAATTTAACCCGTCAGTAATGACCTAATCTGCAACCAATCAGTAATGATACTGATTCAAGTTTGGCAAACCTTAAGCACTCAAAACTTAATTTCAAGACTGAAAGTAATGACTCTGAGTCAGATGATGATTCAGTAACTGCTCTGAATTATCTAGTGTACATATACATACCAGCATACAAGTCTCAGTTTGTTTGTTGATTGGATTAGACTGGTTGCACCATACATCGGTTTTTGCATGCAACCTTGAATATAACGTAATTGCAAGATGTGTTTTTGCGAAATATCATCAAAATGTCATTACATTAAACTGACTTACAACTTGGGTAAAATATGATTAATAAAAGATACGAATAATAAAGAAGATATTTTGAACCAAACAGTTTTGGTTACCATTGACTTCCATTGTATTGTATGAACAAACTAGGGATGCACCGAATGTTTGGCAACCGAAATTATTCGGCCGAAAATAGCAAAAAAATCTCTTTCGGTGTTCGGCCGAATAAGCGAAAAGGCCGAATAATATGTACCGAACAATGACTAGCGCGATCAAATAGAGGCACGCACTAATGGTGAGTTCACACCAGACGCGAAGCGAATATTCGCATCGCGTCACTCGCTCTAGATTACTCGCGGGATGTTTTCCGTGTCACTCGCGCGAATAAAAACATAGCGCGATCAACCATGGTGGCGATAACTACAATCGCTGTTTTGTACCTGTTGTCAAAAACTCTCTTCCATTGTCTGATTCAACTGGACGTGTCAAGAAGCTCTTCGCTGATTGGCTTGCGCGAGAACGCGTCACGTGAATTTTCCGATCCAGTTGAAATTTTTGAACTTGCGCGAAAGACGCGAATATCGTGTGTTCGCGGCAAACGCGTCGCCCGGAGCGAATTCGCCTCTATTCGCGTTGACTTTGTATGTAATCTACTCGCGCGAATAATCACATTCGCGTCTGGTGTGAACACACCATAATGCAGCAAACATGTCGGCAGTGTGAAAGTATTTAAATCTATCAGAGAAAGACGCAGAAATCATTACAAGTACGAAGCACCGACAGCGAGAGACTGTTTAGTTCTGCATCACATGTCTCCGATGAGAAGAAGAGGTGGCTGATGCCGGTGGTTAGGCTACTGCAGTGGTTCTCAAACCTCTCCATGAACTACCCCCAGCACTGCACATTTTGTATGTCTCCCTATATCTGACACACTCACTTCAGGTCTTGCAGTCTTCACTAATGAGCTGATGAGTTGAATCAGGTGTGATAGATGAGGGAGACATACAAAATGTGCAGGGCAGGGGGTACTCCAGGACAGGTTTGAGAACCACTGGGCTACTGTATGATGATTAAAATCGCGAAATGGCCTCAAACGATTAGTAAATAAACTGCAGAATGTTATATTTTCTAATGCACGCACGAATTGCATGTATTCTGACAGCGCTGCACGAGCTCGCGGCGCCAGGGTTCAAAGTCCAAAGCGCGAGGAAAATCTGCGCTAAAACTGTGTTACTCGTCAGTTGCTCAGTAACATTTTTGTGATTTTTTTTATTTATTCATGTGACCAGGACCGCTGCTGGCCAAATGGGTGCCCTAAGCATAATTGTATTGTTTTGCCCCCTCCCCAAAATATTATGGAAGTTAAAAAAAAACACCTACTATAGGGGTCAAAATAGAACTTTAATAAAATATAAAAGTAAATAACTAAATTGTAATTAAATTGTATTATTTACAAATTACAGTTGTAGCTAGACAGTCGCCTATGGCTATGATTTTACTAATACAGTTGTCTGATTGATTTTATAGTCTCAAGCATTCAGAAATTACACAAAATAAAATTTTACTTTTTACAGTTTTACTTCGATAAAGCCAAGGATTAGTTTTTGTAAGGGTTGTGATGTCCACATGTTTTTGTTGAAGAAATTATAGAGGCAAGTATTTCTATCGCAAAAAGGTGGCCAAAATTAAAGATTAAGTGGATATGTGAATTAAATGTTTGGTCAATATTAAACAAGGATTTGATCATCCTGTAAGTGTTACAACAGCCATTTGGCGCCCTTTGCAATAATGTACATAAATTGCTTATTTATTATGTATTTTAACAGTGTTATTCAATGAAACCATACGATTATTATTAATTAACCAATAATTATTGCCTCATTGTTTTTATATAATGCATTTTATGACATTTTAAAAGTTGTTGATCGCTTAGGTCTGTTTTTATTACCAATAAAATATTAGGCCTATCTGAATTCTTCGTAAATTATTATTTGAAGCGATTTGAAGTATCGAAACCATGGTTAATTTGTGGTTACCATTGCTACAAGAACCATGTTTTTTTTTTCGTAGTAAAATTATGGTTAATATTCGTAAGGGAACATGTTAACTCTGAGAGAATATTAAGGCAGATGCAGCGGTGATATTATTACCGACATTAAAACACGTAATTAACTTCAACATCCAAAAAAGTTTCACAGGATTATAAACGTACCTAAAAGTGATGCACGGGCTTCATCAGCCTTTTTTCTTTTTCTTATCTCGGCGCCGGACTACTGATGTCTTTTCCCGGGCATAGTTATCCATCAGTTATGATCATTTGCAGTCAGCGCAAACATGAGGTGAGAGCGAGCGCGGATGCGAGAATGGCGCGTCACGTGTGCCTGCCTACTGCGTTCACCGTAAAACTCATTTTTTTATAATTATGTATATATGTTCATGTTTATATTTTTATTTACGTGTATGTTAATTAATATAGAACGAAAGTTTTTTTTTTTTTTTTGAGCAAATGGGA